TGCCAAGTCACATGGACAGTACTCTTCATTATTCTATACCCTCTCTTCTTCTAACATTCCTTCTCTTGGCTTCACTGTGCCACCCTCTCCTGGCTGTTCGCCTATCTTACTGGCTAGTTCTTCTCTTTCTTCTCTCTCCTCTCCTCTATCCTATGCATTTCAGCAGGGGCCTGTTGCCCCAGAAGGACAGAAACTGATTCCCTGGGGGAGACGCCAAAAATATTTTAGCCAATATAATGGTTTGTGATCTCCAAAGGGCACAGTACACGAAGAAACATATAGTATGCCTGTGATATTAAAATTTCTTGGAGTGGGTGATTAGGACAGAAATATCTACGTAGGCTCCTTTAAGGGGTAGTAATTAAAAAAAGACTAAGAAACACTGCTCTACCCCATCTCTCTACGCTGGGAAGTTTTATGGTATAACCTTGACCTCTTCTATTCTCTCTTTATGCTGTCTATCTTAATGTTCTCATCAATTTCCATAGATTTAAATCCAATTTTTATACTAATGACTCCTAAATTCTTATCTTGAATATCAGTCCTCTGGAACTCATGGACCCTCCTTGCAAAATCTTCCAGGTATTTTCTTCTCTTAGTGTTCCCTTCACCTTCTTGCCTAAATGAAACTTGGCTCTGCCTTGATGACACTGCAGCCTTCTCAAGTAATAGATCTCTTTCATGCCTCTTTACTAGTGAGTCTGGAGGTGGAGCAGATACCTGCTTACTCCTTATTGTCCTATTGTCATTCTCTCGCCTTCTCCCTAAAACTCCTCAGTTTTAAAACTCATGCTGTTGAATAATACTACTCATCATCCACCTACCTGGTTGCAGTCCTTCACCAACTTCCAGGTCAATTCCTCTTATTCCTAGCTCACTCTCTCTCTCAAACACAAATCCTGACATAATTTTTTAGTGTTTTCAATATTAAAAGAGATGATCCATCCAATAACCTAGACTTTCTGTTCCTTAACCTCTTCAACAAAAATCTTATAATCTACCTTACCTCAGAAACTTATTCCCCAGGGTCATACAGCTTTGTCATTATCAGGCTCCAAAAATTCTTAAGCTCCATCAGGACTCCTATAATCCTTTAACTCATCACATTTTTTTCCCCAAGACATTTATATCTTCATTTCCTCTTTATGCAACTCAAATCCTTGGCTCATTACAATCACTCTCGACACACATCTTCAATTCCTTAGACTCTTTCTTCAACATATTCACTTGGTAAAAAACGAACTCTGTTTAAATCCTGCTCCTCCACCAAGAAGGCCTATACTCATGCAGCTAAATGTGACTAGAGAAATTATACCACCATGCTGGCTGCTCTCACTAACTTCAGAGGTAATGCCCAGGAATATATCACACTCTCATTCACTCTCTTACTCTTCTATAGGCAACTATTTTATGCCTTCCCTCTCATCTGCAACAACTCTTTCTTCATCCCTCGCTCTCAGCTGATGACCTGGTTCCCTATTTCACTGAGAAAATAAAAGCATTCAAAAGGGCTTCTACAAGCTACCACAACCACATCTACCTACCTACCTGCATCTGTTTTTGATACATTCTGTCTCACCATTAATTGCTATTAATGAACTATCTGTACTGAGACTGTTCTTTTTTTAATTTAATTTAATTTATTTATTCCTGAGAGACACAGAGAGAAGCAGAGACATAGTGGGAGAAATAGGCTCCTCACAGGGAGCCTGATGTGGGACTCATTCCCAGGCCCCGGGATCATGCTCTGAGCCAAAGGCAGATGCTCAACTACTGAGCCACCCAGGCGTCCCTATCTGAGACTATTCTGTTTGTCAAAAGTATTCTTTTCAATTCCTTTCCTCCAGTTTTCTTTTCTTAAGCAGCTTTATTGAGATACAATTCAAATAATATACAATAAACCAATTTAAAATATACAATTCAATATTTTGAAAGTATATTAACAGGACTGTGAAATCATCATGATCCAATTTTAGAACATTTTTCCCCACCAAAAGAAATTCTGTACCCATGAGCAGTCAATCCCTATTTACTTCCTTACCTTTCCCACCAGTCCCAAGCAACCCACTAATCTACTTTCTGTCCCTATAAATTTGTTTATTCTGGACATTTCATATGAATGCAATCGTATAATATGTGGTCTTTCATGATATGGCTTCTTCAACTTAGCATAATGTCTAAGTTTTATCTACTTTCCAGTGTGTATCAGTACACTCTTTTTTGTGGCTAATATTTCATTGTATGGATATATCACATTTTGTTTATCCACTCATCAGTGGATGGACATTTGAGTTTCTTCCATTTTTTTGGTTATTATGAGTAATGGTGTCTGTCATGAACCTTCCTGTACAAGTTTTTGTATGGTTGTGTGTTTTTACTTCTCTTGGGTAAAATTATAGGTCATATGGTAGTTCTGTTAAACTTTAAAAAAAAAATTTAAGATTATTTATTTATTCACAAGAGACACACACATACACACAGAGGCAGAGACACAGGCAGAGGGAGAAGCAGGTTCCATGTGGGGAGCCTGATGTAGGACTCTATCCCTGGTCTCTCCAGGATCACACCCTGGGCTAAAAGGCGGCGCTAAACCACTGAGCTACTGGGGCTGCCCTATGTTAAACTTTTTAAGGAACTGAGAAACTGTTTTTTGTCAGCAATATTACATTGCTATTGGCTATGTATAAAGGTTTCCAATTTTTCCTTGTACCCTCCCTGTCTGGTTTCCTCCCACGCACTTGTTGAGGTTACCAGTGACCTCCTTATGGTTCAATCAACAGTCAATTTTTAGTCTTCACACTGCTTAAGCTATTAGCAGCATGTGGTTCAGTTAATCTTTTACTCTTCATTGAAACTTCATTTGGATTCTAGGAAATAAGTCTCCTGTTTTTCTTCAACCTGGCTTGAACACACCTGTTCTTCCTTCTTCTGCAATTTCTAATCAGTGGCATGTCCCAGAGTTAGTACACTGATCTCTCCCCTTCTCTATCTACATTCAATCTCATTGTGATTTCACTTAGTCTACCATTTATATATGTTGTCTGCTTCCAAATGCATATTTATAGGCTAGATCTGCACCACCCAATACATTAGCCAGTAGCAACATATGGTTATATAATTTCCGTTAATTAAAATTTAATATTCAGGTTCTCAGCACATCAGCTATATGTTAAGAGCTCAAGAGCTATGTGTGGTTAGTAGTACCAAACTAGATAGTACAGATATTGAAGATTTCTATTATCACAGAAATTTCTATTATACAGCAGTGATCTAGACCCCTCCTCTAAACCTTACATTTATACATCTGACTGCCATCCTGAAATTTCCACTTGGATGTCAATAAACATCCCCAAACCCAAATCCTGTTATTCCTCCCTAAACATGTTCCTTCCATTTTTCTTGTGTCAGCTGATGTTAACTCCATCCTTTCAGTTGTACTAAGCCAAAAACCATGCAGTGAACCATTCTCACTCTCCATTCAACTGATTAGCAAGTCCTGTCAGCTTTATATCCAGAATCTGACCACATTTTACAATCGCCGCTTCTACTACCTTGTTGGAAGCCACCACCATCTTTCACTGATTGCAATAGGACTTTTTGTTGTAATAGCTTCCTGATATCCCTGCTTGTCTCTTCCTTCCTAGGTTCTAGTTTCAGCCAGAGAATCCTTGTTACTCTCAAAGTCAAATCATATCAGTCCTCTGGTCAAAAACCTCTAATGGCTTCCAAGCTCACTCAGGGCAAATGCCAGAAGCTGCTATAATAGCCTACAGGGTCCTATATGACCTGGCCCCATTACCTCTCAAATGTCATCTCCCTTGTACATACCCTCCTTGGAAGTCATACTGGTTATTCATCAAAAGCACCAAGCATATTTCAGCCTTCCCCATGAAATAGAATTCCCAATTATGTTCCCAATTATGAAACATAATTTAGAAATCATAAAGTTTAACAATCACTAAGCTAGACTAAAAGAGATATAAATAGAAATTCTATTTCCAGACATATGGGTATTCAAAGTAATCTACTCTTAACTCTGAGATTTCCCTAGCCAGTGAATAGGATTAAATGATAGTAATTACATAAAGAAAAGGGTCTTCCAAAAGCTACAATCTCCAACTTCACTAGGCCTGTACTTCACCAAAAGTCGGTTAGCTTGTAGTCTGGAATGGTGTAGACAAGCTAATCAGCTGATAATAATAATTTTTCTTTTTTACAAAATTTTTCTTAAACAATTACTAAAAAAAACTAAGATTATGGATTGATTACCTATGTGGTAACAATATAAATATATAAATTCCTCTTTGCTAAATTGTAAAAGACCTCAGTGTAATACACAGTTCCCCTGCTCTGTAAACAAGTTCTACTGAAAGCAGCTGGTCTGTAAACTGTCTATCACTGGTCTGTTTTGAAATAAGAAGCTTGCATAAGAATGCAACTTAATACACTGCTTCCTTCATCAAGAAAATTTTGCTATGAAAAATTTCAGATAAACTAAACAGTGTGCTTGTGTAAATGTTTTACATTTTGGCACAAACCCCTGGATCACTGCAGATTGGTAACTAATGTTTCACAGACTGGTGTAGGTGCACGAGTCATACTTTGGATAGTGATAATCTAAATCTAAATCTAGGTTTTTAATTCAAGTCTATATTCAACTCAATATTTTTTTAACACTTTCTACATGCAATGTCAGACTTCCTGTACCATTTCCCATTCTGTAATTTATTAGGAATTAATATGTATCTTGTTCTTTTCTGGAAGTTATCAGCCTCCTTATTTATACTATAGAATTTTAACACTGGTTAGAAAAAACCTTCAGAAAGGTTTAACACTCAAGAACAATAACATATTAATATAAATTTTTAATTAAGAGATTCAAAATTATGATTTTAAAGTAGATTATTTAATAGCACTTCAGAAAGATGCAATTTGGTAATATATTAGTTTTGGAGACTTTATTTTGAAAGAGATAAAATCATCCACTTTTCAACACTGACCTAAATATTCCATCAGTTGTTCAGCAGTTATGATTTCCATCATCGGTGGAAGTTTCACCTGAAAAACAAAGTATTTTTTCTATAAAATCAAATGTTTTAAGTGATTAAAGTGTTTCTTCAGTCAGAAACATATGTATGTGTACAAATGTATCTACTATATATATACATTAATATTTGTTATTAAAATCTTTATAACTAATCTTTATCAAATATGACAAAGTCAATCTTATCACCCTAAAATTTATAGGGCGATATAAGATCTCACAGAGACACCGAGAAATCTGTTTTTAAAACCGAATGCTACACCTTTCATCACCCACTATGATTGTCACTAGGCACCTCCAGTAGTGTCTTACATGATAGACCAGTTGAAGGGCAGGAATAGGCACCAAACACGTGACAGGTCAACCATGGAGCAGTTTTACTAAGGACAGATTGGAACATAGCTCAATATCCCATTTCTTCAGTTTATCTTGGCCATTTTTATTGAATGACTATAATGCTACAGTATTAAAGTATCAATCAGGGATGCCTGGGTGGCTACCCTCACCCCAGGTCATGATCTCAGGGTTTTGGGGTTGAGCCCCAAGTCAGGTTCCCCACTTAGCAGGGAATCTGCTTCTCCCTCTCCCTCTGCCCCAACCCTTGCTCATGGTGTCACTCTTTCTCTCAAATAAATAAATAAAATATTTTTAAAAACCCATATTAATCATATGCTAAAGAATTTCACTTGCAAAGTTTTTTTTAAATTTTATTTATTTATTTGACAGAGAGCAGAGTGAGAGAGAGAGAGAGCACAAGCAGGGATGAAGGGAGAAGGGAGAGGGACATGCAGACTCCATGCTGAGCAGGGAGCCCAATGCAGGGCTTGATTCCAGGACCCTGAGAACATGACATGAGCTGAAGGCAGATGCTTAACTGACCTAGCTACCCAGGCACCCAGTAAAGTTTAAAAGTAGGCAGCATTAAACTATATTGTTGATAGCTGCATGCATGGTGATAAAATTATAAAGAAAAGTAAGGAAATGGATTCTATAAAAATCAGAATATGGTTAGCCCTAGGGATAAAGGAAGGAGTTATAGTTGGAAAGGAGGGCATATAAGAGCCTTCTGGGGAGCCCCTGAGTGTCTGACTCTTGGTTTTGGGTCAGGTCATCATCTCAGGGTCGTGGGATAGAGCCCCCCAAGTCAGGCTTGTGCTCAGTGTAGAGTCTGCCTGAACTTCTCTCTTCCTCTCTGCCTCCTATACTAGGCTCACTTGCTCTAGTTCTCTCAAATAAATAAATAAATATTTTTTAAAAAGTAAGAGCCTTCTGGGATGCTGGCAATGCTCTATTTCTTGACTTGCATGATAGTTCCACTGATGTTTATAATAACTTGTTAAACTATACATCTGTTTTATGCATCCTATGTGTTATGGTTCACAATAAAAAGGTTAAAAGTAGATACGATTACAGTCATATTTAAGTTTCTAAAGTTAATTCGGCAGCAACACATTAGTCTACATTAATGTTTCCAATGAATTGTCAGATGAGTTACATAGATGTTATAGCCAATCGTCATAAATATTTTAGCTGACTTATTCAAAAGCATACTCTGTGGTATATTCATAGGATAGAAGAAAAATAAGTGCTGTAGGACAGAAAATCAAACAAAGTAATTAAATATCAACGATAGGAGAACAGTAACATAATTAAAAATTTTTCAGGAGTTATTTTCTGGGAATCATTTTCCGGTCAACCAAGGAAATCATTTAAATTATCAATTTTTCCAACAGTTCCTCCAAGTGTTGAAGAAGGTGCTCTGGGTGTTTACGTTAGCAAATGTGGTAACAGCATGTCACAATTTTTTGTTTGTTTAATCAATGAATAAAATAAGTTCTAAAACATATCTCTGTAAAACAGATCTCTGTAAAACAGAAACAGTTTCATATCCTGAGAGCATACGTGACAATTGATGCTTACAATTTTGTCATCCAGCTGGATTCATTACTCAGGCAAAACCAAGAGATGCCATGGAGGTTTTTATTATTACTTGATTCTAAATCATTTTTTTCCTTGTGTCATGTTTTTCAAAAATTGTTAATAGAGTTTGGGGATTTTGTTTGTTTTGTTTTGTTTGTTTTAGCTGCTTTACGTTTACAGAAAATTGAACAGAAAGTTGAGAGTTCCCATATATGATATATTTTTAACCTGAAATTCATTGGTAAACTATGGTCCCTGCCTGTTTTTTTTTTTAGATATTTATTTTTTATTTATTTTTTTTAAGATTTTTAAAAATTTATTTATTCATAGAGACAGAGAGAGAGAGAGAGAGAGAGAGAGAGAGGCAGAGACACAGGCAGAGGTAGAAGCAGGCATCATACAGAGAGCCTGACATGGGACTCGATCCAGGGTCTCCAGGATCATGCCCTGGGCTACAGGTGGCGCTAAACCGCTGCGCCACGGGGGCTGCCCCCCTGCCTGTTTTTCTAAATAAAGTTTTATTTGAACAGTCACTCTCATTGTTTATATATAGCTTTGGCTGTTTTGCACAACAATAGCATAGCTGAATCTTTACAAGACAGATCACAGAGCCCACAAAGCCTAAGATATTTACTTACTATCTGGTCCTTTACAGGAATTGAGTTTGCTGACCCCTGTCTTAGATGATTTTAACTGTTCCTACAGAATATTTTATCACTACAGAATATTGTATCAAGCTGTTTCAGGAGTGCTCTTAAAGGTCTGATATTTAAAACAGAAGTTTATATTCACTGTTAATGTTTATATTCTGAATAATTGTCAGAACAATCTGAAAATCCCACTTACACCTAACAATGTTTCTTAAATAAGACCTATATATTTTTTTATTCCAGACAGGTTCAGTCAATATATTTACCAGAAAATTCCACAAACAGATAGCTTATCCTCTGCTTTGGTTAAAGTAGCAATTCTATATAATTGTCAAAATAAGAATTAACAGAATTGTCAATTGTGGCATTTTTGCCAAAAATAACAAACAAAGGCACTAACAACTATATGTACTTGGGAAATACATATTACAATCCTAGATTTCTACAAACATGATTTCAGGGTTTAGCCTGGAAATGTCCAAATAATAACAATTGCCTATATGCATTGCTTCAAACATTTGAAAAAGAAAATGACACCTCTATACTGATTAAGAAGTGGGCAACAAATATGCAAATATTTTAACTCACTTATTCACAAGCATACTCAGTGAAATATTCATTTCCTGAATCCTAGCCAATAACATATTCCGGATAGTCATTAAAATTAAGGACAAATAAACAATTGAGAAGGAACGCCTGCTTCTCACTAATACTGTGAAGCTGTCAACAGATCTTTTTTTTTTAAGCCACAAAATTATCTTTCTGAAAGCTTATCTTTTTCCATTCTTTTACCACCATTACCTCAAAAACAAGTGACAAAGGTTTTGTTAATGATTCTGACTTTCATTCCTCTGTCTCTTTAGGTTTTATAAAAGAAAAAAACAAGTTAGGGAATAGCTAGCTAAGAATATAGAATTAACAAGTGTGGTATTTTGTCTGAATCTCTAAATTTTAAATTTTACAATGAAAAAAACTCAAAGAATGACCTAAGTTCTCAGGTGGCCTTTTAGTAATAATCTAAAACATATTGTTCTTAAGTACATGAATAATGTATATAAAGGTAATTGGAAGGTACTCTTTTAAGTAGTTTAAATATTCTTCCTAAAATATGAGCAAAACCTCTCAGTATATACTAACACATAGCTCCAAATTAAGAGTTCAAATAGAGTCTAAGAAAATAAATTACGTCCTCTCCGAGACGTAAGATTTTACTGAATGAACTGGATTTCCTGAGCAAATTAATAACTTAAGCACAGCAAGAATAATCAAATTAACAAACAGAAATAGCTACTCCAACTCCAACTATTCAACTATAGGGTAAAAACCCATTAATTCAGCCAAATTATTCTGTAATTCTTAGTCATTTGAAGACTGAAGTGTATTTGAAAATAGACCCAAGCAAGATCAAAATTTTTAAAAATTTTATAAAATTAAAAATAAATAAAAATAATCAAATCTTCCATGTAAAGTATTAATAAAACCTTAAACAAAAATGTAAAATATCCCAAAAGTGATATGCCAAGATTTTGATACCTATGATGACATTCTGAAGGGGATAGAAAAATGCAGGGGACCAGTAAAACTAAAAAAAAAGCAGTTTATATAGGTGATGGTAAGTACAAAAATGACCAAAGAATATTATTAAATGTTTAACTGGAATACCAATAAAAAGTCAGAGATTCACATTTTGAATTATAACACCTCTGTAAGTTGGGAAGTTGAAAAGATAAAAATTGAGTATTTGCCAATCTCTGCTCTTTAGGAAAAGCAGAAAAAAATTTTAATATATTGAACTAATTGTCATTCAGTTTGCTATGACAATTAGCATAATCCACAATCCTATGAAGCTGATTTTACTACCTTCATTCAAAGAATTAACTAATGCACTGAGAAGTTAATTTGTCTAAAGTAGCAAAGCTGTGATGTGAACTGAGATCCGACTCCAAAGCCAATTACCTTCTCCATTATACCAGTATTTACATACTTTTACAGCAAAATACTTTTTTTCAACACAAATCTTATGTAAAACATCATCTGAAATATATTTTAAATAAAGATTTGACAGAACTTTGTGACCAATGAAAAGTGGAGGATAAGCCTGGGTGGCTCAGCAGGTTAAGTGTCCAACTCTTGATTTCGTCTCAGGTCATGATGTTATGCATGGATCAAGAGATAGAGTATGACAGGATCCTTGCTGAGTGAGGAACCTGCTGGAAGATTCTCTCTCTCCCTCCCCCTTTCTCAAATAAATCTTTAGAGAAGAGAGAGAAAGAAAGAAAGAAAAGGAGATAATGATACGCAAAGAATAAATAAGGTTGACTCTAAGAGTTAGGAGACTCTAAAAATTAAGATCTATAGAATCAATATAAATGAGAAATTTGATAAGGGAAGACAAGTTTGTAGAAGGAAATGATGTCTGCTTCAGAACTGTAAGGTTTAGTTTG